TTTCTAAAAAAAGTGTTTTAAGAAAAAGATTTTATAAATTTCAACCAAAAGCAGTACTGGCTATTCAGTCAATGAATACCAAATATTTCCTTGTAGGGAAACAATTAATATTACCAATACCAGAGAGAGAGAGAAAGAGGGATATATATATATATATATATATATATATATATATAAATATATTCACAGTTAGATGAAAAACCCTACAGTCAAATGGAGAAAAAAATTCAGCCATCCGGAGAAAGCTTTTCAGCCACATGACTTTCAGCCATCTGGAGAAAAAACTTTCAGAATTGCATCATTTTCAAAAATCTTTCTCAAATAAATTTTATATGAAAAGAAAACTATCAGTGAAATAGTAAAAAAAGCTTGGGTGCAAAATGTTTATTTTGATAAATTGCTTTTTCTTTTTCTTGAAATGGCCTTACAAGTTGGTGCTTAGATAATGGGGTAGGCACGGTGGAGTAATGGATAGAGGCTTGGATTGAGGAATCGGACAGCTGAGTACGAATTCCAGTCGAATCCATTTCTTCTCCCCCTAGTTATGAGTAAATAGCAGGACAGTAGCCTTGGATGGCAACTGGTCTACAGCAGAAAGAAATTGCAGCCTACTACAGGGAAAAAAATCTGCCTCATCAATCATGTATCAAAAGATACATGATCGCCTAAGCGTGTATCACGTATGGCACATAACTGACTGCTTAGATATGTCTTAGTTTCATTCAGCAATCTACTTAGAATTTCTTTATTTACTGCTAAGCAGACCGAATTTTTAGGAGATAATGTGTAGTGGACTTCCTCGTCCGAGCACCGCAAATCATGAAGACACAAGAAGCCCACTAACATTTTTAAATTAAAGACGTGAAATCTGATAGGTGAAACAAAATAGACAACAGAACGAGGATATTTAAGATTAATACAAAATTTATTTACAATGCAGACCTGAGTGGCCGTATGTTAGATAGTCTGGTAATTGAAGGTTGCTCGCATTGGACATGTCAATGACAGGAAGTTGAGGTGTGGTCGTATCAACGGTAGGACTCGGGACATTGATATGCGGTCAAAGTGGTCGCGTCAATGCTCGAAGTGAACCGCCAGAAGTTGAGGTGCGGTTGTTCCGATCATAGGACTAGACGTGTCGGGCAAGCGCTTGTGATGTATCGGCGATTCTAGGTTGGGCAGAAACGGGCCGGTGTGGAATTTGGCGAGAAGTCGCCAACTTATTAAGAGAAACCAACAACAACCACACGTCTCTCAAAATACTAAAAGTCTCAAGAAAAAATAAGGTGAGATTTGCTACGAAAAATGAAGGTGTAAAAATGGTCAGGAAGTGGATTACAACTAAGGTTCGTAACATAAAAAGCAACTAATAAGTCATGAGATCAATTTCTAAATGAAATTAAATTACATTATGTGTAGGGAACACGATGTAAAGATTAAGGTCAAAGCGTCTTATTCATTCCTGTTTGGGGGCGGCCAACAGCGGTTGCAATCCAGTTGATATATAATCCAAGTGAATCCTAATTATTAATATAAGATAAAATAAAATTGATTCACAGAGAGCTTAATCCTTGCAATTTAATTTTAATTTTACAAGGTGAAATGATCATCATCATTATGGAGTAATTCTAATTCCTATTGTTGTTTGTGTGTGTGTGTGTGTGTGTGTGTGTGTGTGTGTGTGTGTGTGTGTGTGTGTGTGTGTGTGTGTGTGTGTGTGTAAAGCGTATTAATATATAAGCCGCACTTGCCATGCCTCCAGTTCATTTCACAAGGGTCTGATTGATTAAATGTAAAAAAAAAAAAAAATCCGCTCGATCCGTTCGCTAGTTTGGACGTAAAATGAAAATTATTAAACTGTAACTTTTTCGTCCTTACTAACTACTTTCTTTACGTTGCAGAACACACGTGTACGGAAATGAAGACGCCCATAAATCGATAAATAACCGACAGATATGGATTTTATTTCGATTTTAAATAATCATGGGCCCCATCTGACAGAATCATTGCGCTAATTATTAATTAAAATCTTAATTTAATACTTTAATTGGACGCAAACGGTCAACCTGTAACGATCTCGCCGGTTTGTTTATTTAGTTTGTAGTGGACCGTGGCTGTAATGTCGTTGAGTAGACGTAGAAGAAACACATGTGGGGTTCAGATTTTCCTGCTAGCTGGTCCAACTACACAAGAAAGTTGAACTTTTAATTAAGTCCAAAGAATGCAAAGAAAACAAACAAAACACAAGACCGATAATATATGTATACAAATATATATTAATAACAAGTTACACGAAAACAGTTACAAAGGACATAGTGTGTGTGTGAATATTATATATGTGCGTTTGTGTGTGTGTGTGTGTGTGTGTGTGTGTGTGTGTGTGTGTGTGTGTGTGTATAGGTGATTAGCGTGTTCCCAGCATTTTTGGGAAACGCTATCCCTTGTTAGCGCCTATATTTCGAGGTTGTAAACTGAAAGCCTGAGGAAAAAGAGAGATTTACCTCCAGGTGTCGACGCGAAGGCCTGAGAGAGAAAGAGGCGAAGGGTCAGCGGCTATTTATAGCCAGGGAAGAGCGACCCCTGGTGAAAGGGTTACGAACTGAAGGAGAAGTTAACTCCGACAAGTTTAGGCGCAAATTTCTTCTTATAGAATAGATTTTATTGAACTTTATGGCCATCAAACTGTGAAATATTTCGAAATTGTTTCGGTAGGTCCGTTAAAAACGGATCTTAACGACCGTTTTGTCGACTGGGTGTAGTAACTATTTTTATTTTTTTTGAACACGTGTATAGATTTTTATTTAAAAATAGAAGCGATTCGTTTCCGCACTTGCCATGCTCCAAGTTCAGTTCGCAAGGGTCTAATAATTGATTCAATGTAAAAAAAAAATCGACTCGATCCGATATTTCTTCAGGAATATAATGCAACTTTAAAATATTTTTTTTTAGCTCCAGTTTTTCGCTATGAAAAAGAAAGCGTGACAGACACGGACAGACGGTAAGTAGGTAGGTAGGTAGGTACAAGTGTATATTAATATATAGATGATCATGCATAAGTATGTTGGCTTGAGAAAGGAACATTTCTACTTTGAACAAATTCAGTATGTAAGTTAATATTTTGGCATGAATCAATAATTGCACTTTCAATAACTTTTCGTCTAAGTTACTCTTTTAATATCTACAGCATTTTTTACAAATTTTTGTTAAATTATTTCTGTGTATAATTTGATAAATTGTTATGCAGGAGAGTTTTCTTGTGTTCATAAATACATTTTTTTAAATTTCAGAAAATTCCACCAATATGTTGTAAGGAACATCAGTTACGGCTTATTTTATATATGCCTGCTTCAGAACTTTTGCTATTATGGATATGTTTGTTTCTCATCATATCCATAATAGTGTGTGTGTGTGTGCAACAATTTTTTTTTAATGGCTAATTACAATTTTCATGTTTATTGCTTTTTATATAGAGAATTGAAGAAATCAGCTGTGGCCTATGTAGGGGCCTTGGATTTCAGAATTGTGGCAGTAGTCGTCTCAAATATTAAAAGTTCGGTTTGAATTTTGAAATTTTGAGTGTGGTCACTTATATTTTAAATCGATGTTTATTCAGCAACAATATTTTGAAAAGTTCTCAGAAAATGCTTTCTGAAGTATGTTAAACATTGCTTTGTATATTCAGTTGCCCTATCCCCCCGCCAAAAAAAAAAAAAAAAAAAAAAACAGAAATCTGCTTAATCCCGACACAAACGCGAGGGCTACTCTTTTCGTTTATTCTATAAAAATGGGAACCAAAGTGGGAAAGTTCTTTTAGAATCAAACTTCCATTTTAAATTTGTCCAACTACACAGTCAATATAAAAAAAATAATAAACGGTCCATGATTAAAACTCAAGTTTTTGTATTCTTCTATCTTTAATTGTTTACATATCTGAACATACACCTTCTAAAATACACACAAACCCTACAATCTGTTACATTCCATAATATCAGAGGCTCTTATCTCAGGTGAAAAGTTTATCTGAGGTCATTGCCAAATTTGTATCGGTTCATTTGATAAAACGGTTGCAATAAATGACAACTAAATTACTTACAGTTAAACATGTGTGTCCTTTACAACTCGAGCTGCTGTTCAAATAGATGGGTCAACTAAAACCCTTTCTTGGGACTTGAGTACGACCATAGAAAATAATGAAATAAAAACTTTAAAAAAAGAAAGTAAATGCTCAATAGTATCTCTCGTAAATGACGTTTCCACTTGGCCAAATAACTTGTATATCTTTTAGTGTGAGTCGAAGGTACTTTGTTGCAGCTTCATTTATAAGAACAGCGGAGACAAATGAGAAATTACAGTTCTCGATTTAATTCGTTGTTATGTTTAAAACCAGAACTCCACTGATGGAATTTTAAATTAATATATTAAATAATAATAATAATGACCTGAGGCATGGCTCTCGTGGCTTCTGATCTTAACTGTTTAGAGGTGTTAACATGTATATGTTTTGTCTTGGTCAATTAAGATGGACTCCCGTTCAGTACCACAGATTTGCTTGACAGTTAACCAGTTGGACAAGTTCCCCTAGGGGATAACACATCTCTGTTCATGAGTGAGAGTCGCAAGGGAGTATCATGGCCCGATGTCGAGGACGTTGATTTTTAGATTAATGTGGCAGTCAAGGCAACTTTAGGAGTCACATCCAGATATTTGGAAACACATTCAATTGGAGACCCTCTGAGCAGATTGGGTTACCGAGTTAGAAATAACTTCATTTCTAACTGGGTCTCACCTACAAGATTATGCGCTGCATTTATCAAAATCTCTCACCATATCGTACACATTTGGCTGTGATGTATGTGCATGGTATACCCTTATCAGACCGGATGTCATGATGGCCATATTAGGCTTCGTATCACTTTATTAAATAATAATAACCAGTTTGACCCATGTAATTTCCATGTTTGTTAAAATCTTAGATTCTCTATTAGTTTGTTATACTTCATTCATATCACGTTGACACACTGATTCTCGTACGATTACCGAAGTTGAGCAACGTCGAACCTGGTCAGTACCTAGATGGGTAACCGCCTGGGAATACCAGGTGCTGTAAGTTTGGATGAACCGAGCTCTATTCCAGTCGGATTACATTTGCTTACGCACAAATACCTTTCCTCTCCTAGCTATGGGTTAAATAGTAGGATTTGTATTAGTAAATCATTATTATCTGAAAAAAATTCTTACAATCCAAAAATATTTTCTGGTCTTAAATAATCTGCAACAGGTTGATAAGCCGTAATAAACAAATCAATCAATCCATTGAACTAGACGCTCAGTCTACCACTATAAATAACAATAAATTAACTTTTATGACTAATATTACTAGTGAAAACAAAGACGTCAACATTAGCCTTTATTTAGACTACAGCACGTGCCAAATTCCTCATTTTTTCATCGACTATAAGTCAGTAAATGTCTCGGCGCCCTCCGGTCAAGAGGTTACATATAGACCTCCATCGGAAATCAATCATTTCATTTGAAAAAAATAATTATATAAATAACACAAAAATACATCAGTCTTGAGTATTTATGATTCTGAACTTTATATATTTGGTCTTGTTTCAAACATTTTTTTTTCTTCTTCCTATTCAGGAATTTTATTGAAATATTGTTCACGATTTCAAATTTTGCCTTTAAAAATTAACTGGTCCATTACTTTCAAAGAAAAATTATTGAAGGCTGAGTTGTATATTTTCCACTAATTTTGTCTTGTGGTGTTCTTCTGCATATTGCTACTTATCCATAAATACTCTATTCATTGTGTTTGCAAAAGAGATACAAGCTACAAATTGGAGATGTCAGAATCAAGCAAGTATAGAAATGAAACTATCCGAGAGATGAGTTATAAGAGACGCGACCAGAAAATGTGACACAGAGATACAAAGGTGCACTTGGATATCTAAAGATGCATTCCAGAAACTAAACAAAATATTAACAAACTGGAAAATTTCATTGGAAACAAAGAGCGCTCAACTGTAATGTTATATCAATCTTCCTATATGTCAATGAATACTAGACAATTTCTTCACAGGTGAAGAAGAGACAACAGAGATGTGGTTCTACAGAAGGATACTGAGAATTACATGAACGAAACATGAGCAACGAGCAGGTTTTAAGGAAAATTGGAACGAAAAGGACAATAAAGAGACATGGGAATTTTCTGGGGACATAATAAGGAAAGGGGGCTTGGAGAGTTTGACCCCCACATGACATAATGAAAGCAAGAGATGTACAGAAAACAACAAGTAGCCTACCTAACGAGCTTATGTAAATGGATGGCATAAAAATAACGTTGGAAACGACGAAAAGAGAACTGAACAGTTATATAATATCAGTTCACCGATATGGCAGTGAATGCTGGACATTCACCTCACAGATAAAGAAGAGGCTTGAGGCAACAGAAATACAGAAGGATACTGAGGATACCATGGACTGAATATGTGAGCAACGACGAAGTTTTAGAGAAAATTGGAAAAATAAAAAATTCTACTTAATGTCAGAAAGAGAGTCTGTATCTTTCTATTTTCTTCCTTATCCTTTCCGATCTTCGTTGCCCATCCATGATTTTATCCAAATTTTATACAAACATGGATTAGCTTCATATATGAATAAAGAATCTATATTTTTTTTCTATTGCGGCATTTACATTTTACACTTTCTTTTTCCTTCTTCCTTTTTTTAGTTTTCTTACCTCCTACGTTTCGTCTTTCATATCTTCATTTCCTTCTCCTCCTTTCTCTAGTTTTATTACCTCCTACCTTTCTTCTTTTGTGCCCTCTTATTGCTCACACCCTTTCTTTAGCTTTTTTTCCACCTACCTCCCCCTTCCCGCCATCATTCCCCTCCTCCTTTCTATTGCTTTCTTACCTTCTACCTTTACTCCTTCACATCTGCATTTCCTTCTCCTTTCTCTAGATTTCTTATCTTCTATTTTTCCTCTTTCTCACCCTCTTCTCCCCTTCCTACTTTTACTTGCTTTCTTACCTCCTACCTTTACTCTTTCACACAACTTTTTCTCCCCTGGCTTCAGTCTCGCGTTTTTGAATCTCTTTCCACTTAATATTATTATTTTGGTTTCAGCTGAAAATCTTTGAACATTGGACATATACTACAATTTGATTCTTCGCAAAGAAACGTACAGTCGAACATACAAACAAGGAGAATAGATAACAATTTCAGTGAAATCTCTCTTGTTTCAGTCAGTCATGTACTGGTGTCAGAATTCGTTAAAATGGATGAAAAAAAATACAGACTGCCTTTATTATATGAGGAATGAAAGCTCAAGATTGAGAATACTTTGTATGCAATCTCAGACCTTCTATCTTTTTAACAAAACCACATGTAATATCTTCTGTCTTGTGTGATTTCACTGAACCATTGGTAATGTTCAAAAATAATGATATACCAGAAGAACGTGTGGTTCACAGCATAACGATTAGCAGATGTTCCCTTGGCAACCAACAAGAGGGATTCGTTCGACGTTCTGCGATTGTCGGTTTCTTTTCTGACAGGTATTCTCTTGATGACTTTCAAGAGAAACTTTGTTCTAATGCGGAACAGAGATGACAACCTTCTTACTATTCATTGGTTATTTTAAAAGTAATCTCCGTCTAAAAGGAGACATGAGAAAATAATATTCAAAATATGGTACATAAGAGCAAATGTAAAAGCCAGAGACTTGCTGGCCAAACAAAACAAACACTAAAAAGAGACTGATTTTAAAAAATGTATAACTTATAGCGACATGCAGAGAAAAAATCCACAAAATTAAGATTTGTATCTTTCAACAAAAAATATTTATAAAGAACGAAAGAAATAGTGATAACACTTATGTAAACTAAACATACGACTGGCTCCACCAGGCAGCTTTTCACTGATTGGCCAGCTTCTGTTCCCACCGTAGTTCGATTCCGGTTTGCCTCATTATGAACAACAACGAAGAAAAGTACGATGTATATGTTATGAATAATCAAGAGTGATCTCCCTTGTTTTGTTGCTTTCCTCTTTGAGAGAGTACTTTCTATTTACTGGGACTATAAAAGAAATCTTGTATTCTCAGTTGGATAACGCTTTCTTAAAGCCTACACCTGCGTACTTTTGTCATTACAGTATGCTTAACAAACGAACGGAAGATGAAATAACGCCATGACGAGAAAAGAAAAACAAAAACAACAAGAATTCTAGTTTTAATATCAACAAATTTCCAAGAGAGATACAGAAAATCAAACTGAGGAAGAAAAAGACAAAATGAAGTAAATAAAAAAATAATCTCAGAGAACTGTGATGACTGCGCCTACACTGGTGTCGAAGAAGCTTTACAACAATGAAGCGTAAGGATTGATTATGACAGCCAGAGTTTGCAATATAAAATTAACAAGTGTCAAGTGAAAAAACGCCTGAACAAGAACTCAAAAATGGGAAGATAAATATATTAACAGATCATTTTCAAAAGACAAACAAAAAATTGCAAATGAAATGAAATGGACATGGTTGCGAGTAGGACATTGAAAAAAAAAAACTAAATTTCTAATAATGGTCAGATATAGAATACAATCGCATAAGAAACAACCAATATTAATGTAAAGGTAGGCAACTACGAAAAATAGTAAATACAGATGATATGGAGATAAATCTTAGTCATATAATGAACAAAAATAACAATTTGACACAGAAGGAGTACAAAAATTTACAAATCTACCATTCGCCCGTGCATTGAATACTGATGCCATATCTGATCTAGTACCCCTGCTTTACATCTCTAGATTCTTGAGAAAATCCAAAGAAGAACCTGTAATGTAATCTATCCTGACTTGGCATCTCGGCTTCAGTCACTATCTCACCGACGTGACTTAGCTTCTCTCTGTCATTTCTAAAAATATTTTCATAACAACTGCACTGACGAGCATTTTATCCCTGGTGTCCCGACTGCATGAATTTAAGCGTGCCACTAGATTGCTTTACTGTTGAAATAGTTAAATGCAACCGAAACTTCAACTCCAACAGTTTCTTTTCTCGCACTTACCGCCAGTGCTTCCCTGATAAATACAGTCTTCAAAAATTTAAATGCAACACCAATCGCTATCTTTTTGAATTACTTTCATCTTTTATCCTTTCATCAATCCTCCTTATACACAGTCTTTTCTCTCACTTTCACTCCACGTAACCCCTCCCCCACGTGCTAGTAGCATTCTTGCTTGGGGTAAAATGATTAATATAAATATATATATATATATATATATATCTTAGAATAAGAAGAATTTGCAAAAGAAGAAGTAAAAATAATATGGTAAATGCTCTTTGTACATTTTGCCATATTCTTTTTACTATAAAGAAGAAGAGGAGGAGGAGGAGGGATGATGATCATGATCATGGAAGCCGCAAAGAATGAAAATATATAAAGTATCTGACCAAAAAAGTGGAATTGGAACAGAAAACAAGTACAAAAAACTATCGATTCCTGGTCCTAAAGACGCATTGATCGCACAGGAAAGAAGTTAATGAATGAATAATTTGATAAAAATACTTTTGTTCAATTCGGCTCGCCTTCTTCCACGTCGCTCTTCTAACATCTTACATTCCTAATTTCGGCTATCAATACTTTTCCGCCATGAAATATAAATTTCTTTCGTGGGCCAAACATACCATGTATAATTAATTTCACTAACTTTATGTAATTACTGAAATTATAGTTTTACTTAGATTTCTGTTGTAACTTTTCTATCATTTTTATTACTTTGTAAAATGCTAATTATCAATTTCATTTTAGTGTCAGATCAATTTCATTAGAAAAGAAAAAGAATGCTGAGCTGTTATGTAATATCAATCCTGCTGCATGGCAGTGAATACTGAACAATTTTTCCACAGAGGAAAAGTAACAGAGAAGGATGTTGGAAATACTGTTGACAAAACATGAGAAACGTACAAGTTTTACGGAATATCAGAACAAAAAGCACATTTGTATTTAGAATCGGAAAGAGGCGGTTGAAATTTCTTGGGCACATATAATGAGGAAAGAGGGTTTAGAAAATTTTAGACCTACATGACATACTGAAA